TGGCAATAACCAGAAGAAAGGGGTATATCGGCTATGATTTATCTATTTGCATTCACGATTTTTATTTTACTTTAGATGAACAACAGTACACACAATAATAGGAAATGTGTTAAATCAAATGTTCTTTTCAAAAAAGCTAAAATTTGTGTTTTTTCAGTTCTATACATTTACTGCGTGGCGGTATTTTACAATTATCTGAACATTCAAAACACTTTATGCTTATGTTAATCAACAACAAAATCAAGTTGCTCAGAATTACTATGTTGCCATGCAATATTTTTAAGAGGCTTTCATTTTCTTTAGACTATATCTTTCATTAATTGCAGCGAAACAAGTGGTATTTTCAATTAAAACTTCAATTAAGCCAATAGGAGTACTTATTAGATTTTAGTGCTATTATCAAAGATGAAATTGAATAAGAAACATAGAAACAGGTGAAGCCCATCGGGGAACCGACAGCTGTAAAACTAGAAGTTTACCTAGGTAAAAAAATGAAATGTAAATTTCATGTTGATAGACATAATATACCTACTTAATCTGTCAGTCATCACAGCCTTGAATAAAGTACCATTACATATTATCTGCGTCTAATAATGTTATGTATTCATTTATTGTAGAGGAAAGAACTAACAGCGACCAGAAACAAATTAGATTTATATTAAACAGCCTTAAAAGTTAATTTTATAACACCTGTATTGTTTTCTAATCTAAATTAATAATTTTGTTCCAAGACCATTGCTTTCTTCTATTTATCTATGATCCATCAATGATGTTTGTAAATAAAGTATACTATCTGCGTCCAAATGAACATTTTAATCCGATCGCCGAATGCTGTTGGCGCATGAAGTTGATGAGTAAACGAAAAATATTTTTTAGCTTCTTAATAATAAAGAAGAAGACGATTTCAAAACACTTATATAAATTCTGAAGATTTTGAGAATTTTCTATGCTAAGTGCTCGTTTGTCTGGAAGAAAATTTGCAGAGCGCGGGACCTCTTAAATATTGGAAACTTAAAAAAAAGAAACTTAAAACATTTGATCCTATCCTTGATTAGAAACCTAAAACCATTTTTGTTAATATTCCCAACAATTGTAAAATTATTTTATCACATTTGAAAGCGAAAGGGATTGTATGCAAAGAGGAAGAAATTGACAATTTGACAGTTAATCTGATTTTTACCATTCATTATCAATTCAAAAATACAGTAAGTTTCAAATTTTCAAACACTATTTGAAAACGGAGGAAATTGTATGCAAGGTGGACATTAACACATTCTAGGTCCTGAAGTATTTTTTGTAGATCTTTGTTAACAGTGTAGAAATAAACGGTACTGCAAATGCAATAATAACTGTTTTTTTTTCCTTTTCAAATAAACATAACAAAACAATATTTGGCTTGACACTTCAACTGACAAATGAGTCTAACTTGTCTTCCATTCACCACAGCAATTTAGCATGTCTGTAAAAATATTCTCTAAGAGCAGCAAAGTCTTCTTTGATATTTACCGCAAATAGCGTATTCGCTGCTGCAATAGGTTCCAGCGCTATTCGCATTTCTTTCTCTCTGTAAAACCGTGCATATCTACTGTCATGTTTTGCTAATTGTCAATGATGTTTGTCGCCGCAATATAGAAGATGATAATTTGCCACTTCCTTGAACGTTTTTTACAGTTGTACTGTAAACTTATGAGATTTATGGAAGCTAAAACGGAATGCAGACGTATAACAATTTTGTATTTCTATACAAAAAACAATTGCTTTTATTTCGCTACTAATTTAATCGTATAAATTAAGTAAATATGTTGTTATAATCTGTTGTGTAGCCCATTACCTATAAGAGCATTGGAATACTTATGTAAGTGACCATACTTTTTATGTTTAGGAATACAAATGCTTTTTTTTTAATTTTCAATAGAAATAAATTACGTCAGATATTGTGTTAAAAATCTTTCTAGTGACCTACTTGAAGCATTTAATGTAAATAATAAAGACCGCGATATATATTTATCAATAAAATGCATTTCCTGAACACCTTCCAAAACTTTATAATGCACTGATATAAACTGTTCAGAATTTTTTGAAAGATATTTGGACAATGTTCTGAGAATGTTGACGTTTTAGAAAACAAAATAAGCCAGGAAGAAGCTATGGGAAAATACATAAAATTTGGGCAATGAAAAAAGATTAGTCTGACTATAAAAACATGTACATGTAAATGGCAACAATGTGCCATTGCCCATCTCCTTTACAAATACAGTCAACACTTGATTAAATCATATAATATAAAAAGGAAAGAAATCAATATGAAAAAACATGGTAATGTTATAATGACTATAGTGAAAGGAAAAATGTATTAATATACTCTCTTTATTCTTGTAAACATAGTATACTGACTTACAGTAGTTCATTTAACGATATAACTTAAATAATCCATAAAGTGCGATATAAAAAAGGTGTTCCTTGTACAGACATTACGAGTTCACACTATTGATAGATGTGTTTGCATGAAGCTTGCTTGCTAATGTATAAATATACGATAAAAATCAACACAAGTTTGCTAAAATGATCTTCCACGCAGTAAATATATAATGTATAACGTTAAATGCTGAGTTTGAATTACGATATACTTGTCACGATAAGTCTTCTTAAGACATGCTAACTGATTTGGCAGGTGGCGAAACACTTTCTCTTCATGGCAACCTGTATTTACGTTAGATAAAACAACAAAGCCGAACTATGTTAATTGATGTATGATATCAATTTGCTTTTAAATGCCTTTTTACACAGTGTTTTTACTTTCCGTTGTTACATGGCATTATGATAGATTGAATCCGGCTATTCGAAATGGTCAAACCACTTTTGTTGTCGCTGTTTTTACATTGAAATGCAGTTAAATCTCTTCGGATAGGACACGCCTGTGTTATTTAATATCATTTAAATGATTGCCACATAAATAAATTGTTAAGAATAATTGTTAAACTCGAAACGTATATGGAAAATAAAGGCAAAAGAGTGATCCTATTAACACTTTTATGCCATATTTGATCAAATAAAAGAATACAATTGAGAACTTTAGTTCAGATAAAAATGACATTCACACGGTAACATCTTTTATTTCGTGCACCTTTGTATAAGACTTAATATTAGTTGTTATATGTCTTTGACTTTTATTTGATGAAATGATTTACACACACCTTCATGGTAGTGATGCAAGGATACATATTCAATTGAATTGCGATATTTTTGTTTGCTTAGATCAATGTTCCTTAGCTTTAACCAATTGTGCGGTTGTTTTCAGAAAGTAATTTAATTAAAGAATCTGAAGGAATAAATCAATTAATTAATTGGTTTATCCGATAGCCTAAACATGCCAACGTTATAATACGGTTGTAATTAAGCTATGTGTAAGTGATTCAGATATTGATTCAATATAATTTCCTTGACAGGATTGGACAGGGTCCAGTTGTCAGCACGTCATAGAATTTTAGTTGGCATGTGGCGTAATCTTTCTTCACAATATTTACGGTTCCGTTACATTTTGTATTGTCCAACATTACAATTATCCTTATTATCTTACAGGAATGTTCTGCAAATTGAAATAAGCAATATGTCTTGCAATATGTACAAATATTAAGTACATTCTGTCCTAAATAATCGTATGACACCAAGTTTATTGTGATTTTTAGATAAATTGTTACATCTTTAAAGAAAACTAGTAACACGTTAGACAAAATGATTCTGCTACTCACTGACGGACACAAGTTATGTTCATGTGAGTGTGATTCAACCGTATACACATAGATTAACAAAACGCACCTTTGTACTTTTATTGACAACAGAAAACTAACATGTAACACGTTGCTGGGGGATAGAGACTATAAAATTGTCATAAACATGTCGAAAGGGTCTTCCCCAGGCTTGAAATCCTCATAAAATTTAATCGTATTGTATAACATTAAAAGACTGCACCTGTCCAAAATAAAGAATCGTGCAGGCAAAATGTACTTCGAATGTATCAATTTTAAAATCTCAACCAAAGGCAATTCCAGAATTCTTTGAAGATATCAGGACAATAAAAAAAGAACATTCGATAATCATGTTTGTTAACTTGCAGTTATCCCGTTCTTGTTCCCTTGTTCCCTCTGTATTTTTGATATTGCTGTGTTTGTCTTGTAAAATACGACAAAATAAATTAAATAGTTCATGAAAGCTGATAAACAAAGGGAGTGTACACTAGTTTATAGGAGAATTTAACGATATAAATGATTAATGTATTGATACGAAGTAGAAGTAATTATTTTTTGCTGGGTTTTACGTGGCACCAACACAGCACAGCTCTTATGGCAACTTTTCCGCCTTACTGGTGGCGGAAGACCTCAGGAACCCTTCCGTGCATTATTTCAGACACGAACGGGCACCTGAGTAGGAACCGCCGACGTTCCATAAGCTTGCTAGATAGCTTCCATGTCGGAATTCGAACCCACAGCAGTGAGTGGCAAGTTGTTTGAAGTCAACAGTCTTAACCAATCAGCCAATGAAGCCCCTCAAGTAGATAAAAGAGAGAGTATCGATACAATAGTGTGAAAAAGATCGTGTTTAAAGAATGCAAGTAGAGAAATAGAACAATGACAATAAACTATTTATGAATACAACTCCCCTTATTGCAACTGTCGGAATGCTTCATTTGAAGAGTACAATAAATCGTATTTTTAAATATGCTTTGATTGACTGAACAAAACCAGCATGTTTCATCAAAGATATATCGACAATCAAAATCACATTTAAGACAATCAAACCTATATTTCTGCTGCGCAAAAAACTATATCAATTGCTTTGATTGACAAATCCAAATGTTTAATTGTTACAGGAATAAAAAAAAACTTTGTTTCAAATAAAGTACACTTAATGTTTGTCGAGTGGTTATTCTTGTTCAACAAAGGTTGATAGGTTGCCCCTCTCTTGAAGTTGCAATTATCTAATTATCTTTATTCTATTTTCAGTGTTCCCTCGTTTAAAAACCTACCTGAAGAGACGATTAGTAAAATAGCGGATGTGTTAGAGGAGGTAAGCGAACTATTCATAAAGTTGGTTAAAGAAAAGGTCAAGAGATGGTTGAATGACTCTGTAGATAATTTTAGCAAATTGGGTACCTATTATAATATTTCTTAAAATCATATCAATCACATTTAACAATCCATTTACTAAACAGCTGTATAAGCTGTTGAGATGCCAGAGTGTGTAAATGTTTATACAATTTTTTAGCGATCACTTCCATAAAATAAAACTGTTGCCCATCATAAATAAAAGGCATACGGTAGGTTAAAAGATATTCTAACTTAACAAAATACAATTATAGGGGTTTTTTAAGCTCAAACCGTGTATGCCTATGAAAACCGCTGTTAGATGAAAATGTTTATGGTACAAACGCGATGATGTGTGCAATCACCTTTTGGCAGAAACTGTATCGCGTTGATATGTTTTAACTTCCTGATTATGTATGTAAACATTATTTTACGAAAACGTAATTAAAGCAGATGCTATTATTCGGAAATCCACTTAGAACATCCTTGTTTATTTGTATATTATGAGTAATATATATATGTATAATAATGTTTCTTTATTATTATTTTTTATAATAATAATAGTAATAATAATATAATTTTTACTATAATGATTATTCATAAAATACTTCTAAAGATATATTTGTAATAAGATTAACGCATTTTGTTTTGTTTTGTTAATTCGCAAAAAATTGAAATTTCATTTGTGGTAAGGCCTCACAGTTATGTTAAAGGGATTGATGTTTTTATGAATATTCTTTTGTTTCCCTTATAAAAACAGTTTTCAGATTCGGTAAAAAATTCATCAAATCAATGAAATAATATTAATTTTTAGTTTCTTCATATTGTTGTTACACTTATAGCTTTTACGTTAGGTGTTTCATAATGCATTTTCGTAGACATATTTACAAATCCCTTTGAGAAATACCGGTAGTTTGTTTCTTTTTCAAGTTTTCAACCACCTATTTATTGGTTAAATTTATTTAAATTGAAAATGAAAACAAGTCATGTGTTCAATATAAATTTAAGTCATATGAATAAATAGAATAATTTAAAACCTTGAACACCTCTGCAGTTATGAGACATTCATTATTGAAGAAAAAACGTAAAAATAATTTCGTTCCTGGGACGCCGAAAATGTTTACATCATGCAGATTGTAATATACATTTTGTATCAGATACAATCAATGTCATGCGAAGACATCATTAAGAACACGGATGTTATGTTGGTTTTTCTGCGTTGCAAATAATTCAATTTTCGTATTTACAAATTGTCTTTCAGTTTGTTAGATAAGATACCAGAAAAAGAGTTATTATATGATTATCTGTACTGTTCCATATGCTTGTAAATCAGTAATCAGATTGTATCTATACTTTTTAATGAATTAGAGAGTAAAACATTTAATCTCCATCCGAAACGACGCAATTTCTTTTTAGATATTTACAGACGAAAGAACGAATTACAGTTTAAAAACAGATGTTTTGATGATAATGTTTTTATAGACAAAAAATTCATTTTTTATGATCTTATATTTAGATTATGACGATTTTTCTAAACCATTTAAAACCACTTGTTGCCAGTGTTTGAATATTGTTTTTACTGGCGGCAAAGCTTAATCACGTTAAACGTCACCTTTGGGTAAAAGGTCATTCGGTCACCTCTTGTATATCCCTACACAATAGTATAAATTTTATTTATACCTCTTTTTAAGTACAAGGGGTTTAGCAGTAGGAATTAAAATCGGCATTATTTATAATACGTTTATCTAGTGCACTAATTATGTCTGTAAGTATATCTTATATGTTACAAGAGCTTTTATATACAACAAGTTCTAAATGCTTTTTAAGACAAAGATATTTATTCCAAGAGAATTTCGTGGACTTAAATGAGCCGCGTCATGACAAAACCAACATAATGTGTTTGCGACCAGCATGGATCCAGACCAGCCTGCGCATCCGCGCAGTCTGATCAGGATCCATGCTGTTCGCTATCAGTTTCTCTACTTGTTAAAGAGTTTGTAAGCGAACAGCATGGATCCTGATCAGACTGCGCGGATGCGCAGGCTGGTCTGGATCCATGCTGGTCGCAAACCCATTATGTTGGTTTTGTCATGACGCGACTCATATGTATATAACAATACATGCACAATTATACATGTTTACATGCTTCTAAAATTAGCAACGTAATTAACTTACGAAACTTGTTATTTTAATTCATATCATTTAAAACGACCGGCGGGGAAACATGTGTCTGGTTAATGCCGCATTCCTTATAAATTAGTCAGATATTTTCAATTAAATATATGTTACATAGATTAGAAATATATGAAAGTGAAAAATGTTTCAACAGAATTAGAAAAAAAATGCATTTCTCTTAATTTATCATAGATGGGAAAAACTATTGCATGACTTTATTTTCAGAACGAATATCTGATATGAGTCATAGATACAAACTTTTATTTCAAAATATATGTTTATCAACAATTTCAACCCCGCGTCGCCCGAGAAAATCCTTATCACTAAATGGAAAACATAGCGCTGTTTCCTATCTTTACTATTTTTAAACCGCTCTTTTTATCAAATGAATTAAAATTGTTGCTTGATAATGCGGACAGATCAAGAAGGAAATAAAATAAAAACAAAACTTTTCTCTCATAACTGTTGCAGTATGCAACTACAACAACAACAAAATGGCTTCATTATCTTTGAAGCAAAACGTTTTCTTTTTTTCACAATAATTTGCACATTTTTTATTTTATCTGATAAAGATATGTTTAAGACATTCTTGTATCATTTCAAACTAAAGTGCATGGGATGTTTCAAAATAAGTACACACAATGTATTTATTGATGTTTATAAAAACTATTTTTCGGGTGGTCAATCCTTTATGGAAATTTGGACGATTTAACAACAAACTCTAAAATCACATGCGTTCACCAGTGATTTAGACACAAATGATTTCTACTGAAATCCTGTAAGTCTTAGATAGAAATGAATCAGAGATCGGCATTTGACCCTAAGCATTTTTGCATTGTACGTTCAGCTTGTAGATATTTAACATCTGTACTCACTAGACGATGATTTTGTTGATAATCTATTTTCTATCATATATCACGTTCAAAGAAATATTACCCCGTATATAAACAGATAACCGTAGTGACCCACACAGCAAAAGTTCAAGTTGGTAGTTAGCCATCAATTCCTATTAATATGATATAATTAATACGAACGTCTAGATGTGTTGCTTTGCTACTGATAAAATAGAGGAAAAAACAATAATAGTTTGCCTCTTGCAAGAACTTGTTAACCTGTAGGAAACAAACACACTGACAACAACATTGTATGCACTTGTCAAAACTGTATTGTTTCAACATTAATTACATCTTATTTCCATAAACAGTACAAAAAACTACAACCTCTTTAGTTAAGTTATACTGGTTGAATCTTAAACTGGTACAAGCTAATATTTCTAACAAGTTGCCTTTGTTACAGCCCACTTATTTATTAACATTGTGCCAAATAATCATTGATATTTCAATGATAACGAAAAATTAACCATGTTGAACCTTAGGAAATCCAAGTACAATTCTAGTCTAATTCCTACCATTATATTATATTAATTTATCTCTTTTCTGTTTTTCAGACACATTACAACAATGGGGAGTGTATTATCCGACAGGGGGCGAGAGGGGACACATTTTATATTATTTCTAAGGGAAAGGTAGGCAGCGTTGAATCAAACTTATTAACGATAAAAAAAACTAACAAAAACATCCTATTCAGATTTTTAGAGATTGTATAAGAGAAACACAATTGCTCCCTGGAATTGGTACATTGTTGGTACTTCACCTCTAGTGTTTAGAAGCAGAGTGAAACTCTTCTAATTAGCGTGTTAAGTAACCACATTGCATTCTCTTTTGTATATATTAGATACCAAAATACTTGCCTTTAATATAAACATTAATCAATTATATTTTTACTTTTTTCTATGGTGTGAAAACTAAGAGGAAAAAGTACTACAAATTTTACTTGTTAGCGTTCTGTTTTCAGGTTAAAGTAACCAAAAGAACTTCAAAAGGTTCAGAGGACCAATCTTTACGTTATCTCCAACGAGGAGAATTCTTCGGTGAAAGAGCCTTACAAGGGTATTTTTATATTTCATCTTCATTATTACCATGCTGCACACTTTAAAGTCCTTGCTGATAAGGATTACTTGTTAATATTGAGTTATATTTTAGTAAAATTACAAACTTTTGATGATTACTTTAATAAGCGTTTCTGCATGATTTTACTCTATGTAAAGGTATTTCATTATATGAACGTTAGAATAAAGTCGAAACACAACATAGGAGTAGCATAACAACTTTAGCCTGTTTACAATATTTATAATATTCTGTGATTTTAAGAACATTTAAAAACACGTAACAAATTTTACTGAAGCAACAACATTTGAGCCGTGTCACGACAAAACCAACATAGTGCGTTTGCGACAAGCATGGATCCAGACCAGCCTGCGCATCCGCGCAGTCTGATCAGGATCCATGCTGTTCGCTAACCAACTCTATTACAAGTACAGTGACTGATAGCGTATAGTTTAATGTATTCAAAGTTAAAGTTTATGAAAATATATATCTCTGGAGAATTGATGCATAAAAAGACAAGCAATGTCAGAAATAAGGACATTCTTAGTAAATATTTTCACTGGATCATTCTTGCAGACACACAACATAAAGAATAAAGGGCAAACATATAACGAGCGTCCTGCTATTTGAAAATTACAATACTTGAAAGAAGCAAAACATTCCTGGTATCAAAACATGTCTCGAACATTTAGACTGTTGGTTATGAAAATTCTTTGATTCTTTTTTTTAGGGAAGATATAAGAACAGCTAATATTATAGCAGATGATCCAGATGGAGTTGACTGCCTAGTTTTAGACAGAGAGTAAGTTAACAAAACTATACATTTCTTTTACATATATGCACGTTAATATAACATATTGTATAGAATTACAAAGCTTACTAGAATTACTGAGTTTAGGCAACAATAATTATTAAGAGAGCCTGTAGAACGAGGGTTATAATAATTTTGATGAGTTTTATGTAGGTCTGTTTGAAATGGCAACGAATATAATATTCTGTTTTATCATATGTTGATAAAGCCGAAGAAATGAAAATCATTTAAAAAGAAAATTATAAATGAATCAAAGAAATAAAAACGCAAAAAGAGAGAAAAACGCACAAAATTGCAGTCTCTTCATTTTGCTGACCATTAATGCTTGTATTCCTATTTTCTCTAATTTAAACGTGACAAATATATAGAAATGTGAAATGATATTTTCCTTAAAAATACAAAATTATGAAACATTTGACATACAGTCATTTCCGTTAGATTAATGGTTTTAAGATGTTCCACGGCATTGTTTTGTTGGTGGTGTTTTTACGTAGTTTGCTTTGATGGTAATAAATTGATTGCAACTGATGAACATATTTTGTACATTAATCATTATATCATCACGTAAACCATAAATTCAGTGTAAATGCAATCATGTGTTTACTATATCCTTAAGGATTTGTAGAAAAAAAGAAGAAAGAAAAAACAAACAAAGAACAATTTTGTGAACAATTTTTTCATCATCAGTATACAAATTGTATTACTTTGTTAACGTTTCGGAAGCTTGAATTTCTATTTTATATTTATTTTCACAGGTCGTACACTCAGCTTATTAGCAACTTGGACGACTTACAACGAAACTACGAGGAAGATGAAATTGTAAACAAGTAAGAACTAAAATATTCCAAATTATGAAGAGCAAACTCAAATCCTCAAAATCTTTCAAAAATAAACACATTGGATTGTTCTGAATAATATTTAGCCTGAACGAGTTATTTTAACTTAAACTTTTATTTAATTATTACTGTGAAGCCATTTCGTTTCTCTTTCATGGCAATTTTAATGTGTTCTGTTTTTTGATGATTTTCAGTGTCGCGGCAGAATTTGCTAAACTCAAACTTGGAGATCTCAGCATAGTTACCACTCTCGGGGTCGGTGGTTTTGGTCGAGTTGAATTGGTGAGTGATTCAATAAAAATAATTCAACAGTCAACGTGTTAGATTAACATATGAGCCGCGTCACGACAAAACCAACATAGTGCGTTTGCGACCAGCATGGATTCAGACCAGCCTGCGCATCCGGAGCTGTTCGCTGTCGGTTTCTCTACTTGTAATAGAGTTGGTAAACGAACAGCATGGATCCTGATCAGACTGCGCGGATGCGCAGGCTGGTCTGGATCCATGCTGGTCGAAACCCATTATGTTGGTTTTGTCATGACACGGCTCACTAACGTCAGTGTGGTTGAAGTTAAGAAGAGTAAACGATACATCATGCAGACAAGGGACTACAGTTTACCCTCTGCTTAGTGATATTAGTAAAGGAAAAAGCAATTTTTACTACAACATCATCATTAACTTCACAATACAGTTTACCTCTCTAGAGTAACAGCACTAACCAACAACATTAACCAATGTCAACAAATGACGAGGTTGTGCTGTATCTGTGCAGGTTGGTGCATTTGCATGTCTGAGCTAACAGCGACCTACAACATCAAAACAGATTGTTTTACATTGTTGCGGTTGTTACGTGTGCATTTAGCTACATCAACAAAAAACCTGTTTCATATTTCACAAGATGTGTTCTACTTTCACTACAATCAGTGATTTAAGTCTATTCTACAGGGAATACTTCTAGTTTTCATTAAACTTGCCGTCATAAATTATAATTAACAATGATAATTGAAGAAGAGTTTCATTTTAAAAGCTCTCAACATTTATCATTTGATGAAAAACATAAACAGTTGTTATGCCATTTTATGTTTCACTGTTACTGGCCCGCCCTTGCTGCAAGTGCTACTGACACATATAGTATTTATATAAATTAAACTAATTATCGTTCATTCACCTGTTTTATACTTGCGTAATACTTATGAATTCATTTATAATTAGCAAAATATTTCTGAATACCAAAATGTTTTCTGGTATTTGATTTGGGTTATATTCTTGATAAACGCGTTTTCCAAGAGACGTTTTCCAACACCAAATTAAAAGATAGTTACGATTTCCAACACCAAATTAAAAGTTACTCTCAAATTACCCAAACCAATTGTGTCTGTTTATTATTCTCTGGAAGCATAAATTGAAAAGACAAAAGACATATTAAAAGAAAGAAAGAAAAAACCGACACTTTTGTCAGCAGCTATATTCATGACAACTATGCATGATAACTGACAGCAACACAAAAATGTATGATTTTTTTACGTAATTTGGTATGAATGTAAATTTCGAAAAGATTACAAGTTTGTAGAAAAGAAATTGGCATCTCTATTTACATGTGAATTAAATTTATCAAACTGCATAGTGCTGTGCGCATATGTATATGTTTGCTTAATTTCAATCAGTTTTAAATATATAATTTACTTTGAAATGGAGTTTTTGAATTCTTTTGTAAACGATATTTACGTCTCTGGTCAATTGACTTAATGCCTTGTTGGACGAACAAATCCGTACTCATATTCACATCTTTGTCAGATCCTTGCAAATATTTAGGACAAGAACTTCAAATTATTTATATCTTGACAAAACACAGACACCTTGCCGAGACAAATCCTCATTTAGATTATCATATTCCTTTCATATGTTCCATTAGTTTACACGTTACCGCCATAATATTTATACGTCGTTGATCAAATATTCGAACTCATAATCTCAGAAGAAATATTCAGGTTAGCTCTTATATTTGGAAGAATGCATCTGGCTAATTTTCACACGTCAGTTTCGAGCATTAAGGGTTTAAATCCTGTTGTAGTTTACTTTGTGTCTAAAAATGTGTGTATTCATGATATTTTTTTCGAAACATCTCCACAATGGACTCTTGAAGTTTTATGCATTTCATTTTCGTTTTGTGTACTTTTTTCTTGACCACCGAAAAAGAAAATATGTCGGTTAAAGTTATGTAAATGGTAAAGTTTTCAGTTTTGAAGAAAGTGTGTTTTCTCAAAAGTGTGTATTTGTACTACATATGGTATATTAATTATTTGCATAAGAAAACATGCTCTTTGAACCGACCGTTAACTTATGATTGTAAATTCCTTGTTCTGCTGATGAAAATCTATGATAATACTGCGTTGTATTGTACTGAAACCCAAACTTCTTTCATATTTGAACAATTTATGGTACATGTATCACTTGGCATTGAATCATCTAAAAGAGTCACATGAATGTTACATGATCACTGCCGTATAAACACTTGTATCCATTGGGGCATGTACGTCTGTTGCAAAATTCTTGAATTTTACACACTGTTTAAGCCAATCATGCAGCTTAGACGGTTCAGGGAAACGTAGCTTGCAATACGTTCAATAAATTAATCATGTCGAACGACCTTCAAAGTTTGTTTTTTTACTCTATTTAAATGTTTATTTTACTTCCAGGTACAAATAAACAATGACGACAGTCGAACGTTTGCTCTGAAAATAATGAGAAAACATCATATAGTGGAAACACGACAGCAGGAACATATCATGAACGAAAAGAAAATTATGTCTGAATCAAGATCAGAATTTATCGTGAGGTATGTTATCTGTGCAGCAGTTGAAATGAAGATTGCCAAATGTTATCTGGTAGCCTCGATGAACATTATTATTATCAATAGTGCCAGTTTATCTTTTATTTTTTATTTAAAATTGGGAAAGCATGTCAACAAGAGGTGATTCATATGAATTGAAATTTGATGTTAAATCCCTTAATCGACTGATTTATAATTTTGAATAAACAGATTATCTTAAATGTTTTAATTCATAAGATGCGTTAGTTTCTGTAATTATATACACAACTTATTAATACCCAATGCATTCTTCTAAACAAATTAATATAATTTCTTTCGCAGATTGTTTCGGACATTTAAAGATAGAAAGTACCTCTATATGTTAATGGAAGTGTGTTTAGGTGGAGAGCTGTGGACTGTCCTGAGAGATAAGTATGTATTACTTTGTTTAGGAATACTATAATAATATTAATTATATGGCCTTATATAAAATGTTTATATATAAAATCCGAGCCGCCACCGTTTATATAAGGCCATATAAATTTATAACGAATTTATAATACAGCAAACTTATAAAAATAAGTGTATTTTTTTCAAAGATTTTCAGCAGCCGTGTATAAAAAACTATTTAAACGTCACGATTATTCAATGAAAAGCGATGTTACATATGTGCAGTATTATAAAAAAGATCAATAACGCATGTTTTGACATTTGCATATGATTTTGGAATGGTCGGTACAATATAACTAGCAACAACAAAATATTAACATTTGCATATTTCGATTTTACATGTATATCAAACATACGACTTCGTTTTGCCTTCGACACAAAATAAAAATACCTGAATTACATTAACCGAAATACTGTGGAAATTACTCATTGTATAAGTTTAAAGTTCAAATAAAGTCTAGGTATAAACGAAATCAGTTAATAAGCTAAACTCCCAGGTTAAGGCTTATCATTTTACTGCTGCCCTTGCTTTGCCCTATTAGCCTTTAGTTCAGTATATTTTCAAGGCTGAAACAACCGACAAATATTTTATGCAACCAGTTTACTAACCATGTGAATTCAGCTAAATTGACATTAATTGATATGCTCGCTGTTCCTGTATGTCTGGTATCATATTTTGACATATTACATACTTTAATGTTATCATCAGTGTTATCATTAATACCTAGGTATGCATATATAAGCAGTATCTTATATATATAATCATACCATGCGTAAAAACGAACCCGGCCAATGTTTTGTCAGTGTAAATCTAAATTGATAGCATTAGATTCTAGAAACACTGTGTTATTTTCAATCTGTGAAAACAATTGATATATATATATTTATAGATATATGAATGTGGTTTACCATAATCAAGTAATATATAGATAATTTATTTGCGTATACATTTAGTACATAGTAGTCATAACACACATTTATATTGCATATTGGATATTCATCCAGTAATTAAATGTATACTATCCTCTTGTACTCTTCGATTTAGTGGTCCTCTGAACCTCTGAAAATACGGCATATCATTACATTTTGTGTTCTTCTTAAATAAGGTGTATCATTACATTAATGTATTTCTCGCCATTCCGAACGAATATCATATTTGTGGTTTCGGGTTTAACAATGTGGATATTTACCAAAACATGTAGGTCTCATTTTTTAAGAAACCATCATACCTTTTTAAATTTGATATGTTGAGCGTCCATTATGATTAATGTTATATCCACTTAAAACATAACTGTAGTAAAATTGTATCAAATAATTTACCAATCTTTTTCTTCAACGCATTTTTGTGTATTCTCAAATTACGTTAATTATAGTGAACTGTTTTAACCTCGTTATGATTAAAAAAATTGTTATTGATTTATCAGGGGATCATTTGACGACACTACAACGAGGTTCTACACAGGTTGTGTTCTTGAAGCCTTCACATACCTTCACAGTAAAGGTATTGTGTACAGAGATCTCAAGCCGGAAAACCTTCTCATTGATTCGCACGGGTATTGCAAACTAGTAAGTACATTTACAGTCACTCGTGATATGACACAAGGTTTTTTGAAAAAGTATGTTCAACAGATTTGAGATTAGCTGAAACTATTTTAACACATTATAAGTTTTTATACATTTGTCGTTAAACCCACAAGAAGCCCTATAATTTTGCGAAATATAGACAAGTGTCGTTTATGCAATGGGAACAGTATTTATTACATTACAAAAATACATTATAGTGTCTGACATTTAAAGTTAGAGACGTAATGCAAAAAAAATCACATACCTTTTATAATAATTTTGGAATATGATTGAATGTTTATGTACAATTCGATCTTTACGATTAGCTACTTGTCTAAAATAAATTAGTTATCATCCATTCCGTCGTGTGGTTTGAAATATAGCTAAAAAGTCTTAAACGCTATTGTAATGAAATCATTGCTTTCCTACAAAGCATTTGAAAACATAATATTGAATGATGAGGTAAACGGTTTTGCAATATTTCCGAATGAGGCAGATTAACTGAATTCTCGTTCGGATAAACTAATTTGAAATTTGGTATGTGCTCAATGTTTAGTAATCTCTTTTCTTGATTTTCAAGGTTGACTTTGGTTTTGCAAAGAAAGTTGGTTTAGGGCGTAAAACTTGGACCTTTTGCGGTACACCCGAATATGTTGCCCCAGAAGTTATCTTAAACAAAGGTCATGATATTACGGCCGACTATTGGTCTTTAGGAATATTAATGTTCGAACTTCTTACTGGAAGGTGAGTAACTCTTAATACTTTAGTTAATTTTGTTCGTTCTTTGTATTTTATATTGATTACGGCTTATATTTTGTTTTAGGACCTTTAAACGAAGCATGTACAATTTAAGTTCAGCACAACGTATTGAATATGTAAAGTACATTTATATTTTTGAAAGTCATCTATCTTCTACGAAGGTACTACATATAGTAGTTTATGAGATTTAGAATTATTCAGTGACTTGTTAATCATGATTATTATAGCGTGGTATTTCTCTAATAAAAAAAACCGACCCAAAATGCATAAAGAAAAAACAAGTCAAACATCAAAAATGCTTTGGAAAAAAAGGTAAACAGTTTACAAACAAGTATTGGAAAATGTATGATAATGAATAATTTATTTGTTTTTAACAACATAACATCATTTGTTTCAGTCCACCGTTCTCAGGGCAGGATCCCATGAAAACATATAACATTATACTCAAAGGCATCGACACGATAGAATTCCCGAGAAAGATAACGAAAAATGCTACAAACCTTATCAAAAAATTATGCAGGTACTAATATACAAAACTTAAATTCTACTTTAATTTTACAAAATCATTCATTTCTTTTTACTTTATTTTGTTATTCGACCTTTCTTATTCGGTTATAAAACATATCACAATATAATATCTAAGGTCACAAACGTGGAAAGAATGTATTATATTTATATGTACATTATCTAAGTCAGTCTATGATTCTACGTTTAACATTTTTAAAATCTCCAAAATGATCAAAAGGGTTTTTTAATTGTAGATATAACAATTTTCTTTTTAAAGATGATTCATCTTAATCTTTAATGTATTCATGAATCCTTGATTATTGGCAATATGAGTTCATTTGTTTACGATTTTCTTGTTTTCCTAATATTTTATGAATTGTTTTAACGCATTGATCATTGTTTTATAAGAAGCAAATGGTTGACATATTGACGTAACTGTCAAGTAGCATATCTCAACTACCTCCACTTAACCGTAGCTAAACCATACAGAAAGATGAATTCTTTCATTTTATCAATGTTATCAAGGGTGCTGATTTTTGAAAACGCTTTGCTTTTGTTACGTTTCTTGCCCTTACGGATAGTCCGTTCCCGAGTGGTCAATGTCAAAGCACTTGTCCCTCTAATCACTGTGGATTCAAATCCTGAAAGGGACTTTGGATTCTTTCATGCAATGAAGCTATTCAAATACCTTACGGAACGTCTGTGGTTCTACTCAGGTGCCAGTTGGTGCCTGAAATATTGCACACAAAATTGAAATCGCATTTTGAATTTAAGGTTTCGTCTTACATCAATTATTTAAGCAACACTGTGTAACAGAAAACATATAAATTAAACAATGATTGTTTCAGGGACATACCTACAGAGAGATTGGGTTTCGGGCGAGGAGGAATACGGGAGATACAAAAGCATAAATGGTTCGAGGGATTTAACTGGGAGGGATTGAAGAAAAGAACGCTTACCGCCCCGTTACAGCCAAAGGTATTTTATGAAATATTAACTTCAACAATTTCTTTTGTTCTCTTGCAGAATCCGTTATTGAATTTATTTTTAAAATCATACTTTGAATAATCAGAATGATAAAAATAGTTCAATAAGAATTCCTCTATTTTATTTCAAAATAACGATTGCGTATTTTCAAATTCCTTGTTCTGTCCTTACACTGTTTTATGTAGCTACCTGATTTTTTTAATTTGACAATGTTGTAATTTTGTCATAACGTTCTTATGATCGATAAATTTCAGATTAAAAGCACTGTTGATACGTCCAACTTTGATGATTACCCCGAAGACGACGAAGCCCCTCCTCCAGATGATCTAACCGGATGGGACAGGGACTTTTGATAGGGTCTTTGGAGACATTTTAAAGTTTGGTATAGTAGTACTGGACTTTTTTCAGCTATTGTTATCTAACAAGCTGATAGTTACATGAACAATCTGTATAGTGGACTTGAAAAGTATTAAACTAGAATTCAGGGTGACACAAAATCAAAGAATAAACGTAACGATGTTCTGATCTGATATTGACTATATCTAGAGTATATCGGATATTATTATGAAGGCGGCATGAGCTGTTATATTAATTTGTATACGATATTTTAAAATGTTGTTGTTTATCTATTGAAATATTCCGTGATAAAAAAGACAGATATACAAAGGACATTTTGTGATATGAACGGTTATTTTTTATTCATAATGACATAATTTTGCCAGTGTGAGGATACATGAATATTATAGTGGTTGACCCACGGACAAAGCTGTTTATTAATGAATATTGCTAATGCAACTTGGTTGTGACTTAGATTTTTCATATGCATCTGTTATAAACACGACTGACGACGGAGAAAAACGATGTTGGAAATTAGTTTGTATATTATAACGATAGGAGAATCGTGTGTACATATATAAAAAAAACTAGTTAGCAAAGTTTGTATTTGTAATGCATATATACATTTCTGTGGTAATTCGTCTTTCTTGGTTTTCATTATTTCAAAATTAACCTTTAACGAAATGGCACCTGTTTAAATATACTTTTTGTCAACAACTATTATTTGGACTTATTTATACCAAGTATTTGAAATTCGGTGCCTTTGCATACTTGCCAAAGTATATTAAACATGTATTATTTTTATTATATTGTTTTTCTTTATAACTGTTACAGTAATTAACATTCTGTTTTCAATATATTTTAGACACGGTTAGTGCCGGTCGTTTGTGTATAAGCTAGAATTAGCAGAAGTTTTACTTGTCATAACAAAATAAAGAATAAATACCTAGTTGTTGTTATTTCATTCATGATTCTGTTTCCATTTTGTGATTAAAAATTGACAGTGAACTGATGTATTGCCGCCATTGCTTCCGTATAATCATATAAGATTTTAAGATTTTCAAGAATCAAAATTTTATTAAGGCACAAACATAATGTATATTGCCATGAACAAGAAAAACGTGTATACATACATATAAACATATTAACAAATGCAAAAACATCTAAATACGAGAAAAGTAATATTACATATATAATATCACAGTCATGAAATCAATATTAAGTCTTAGACTATAATAATTAATGTTTAAAATTAGTTGGAATTAGCTTCTAGTTGTTTTTCTGGCTAAAGTTGCAAAGTTAAAAAAAAATTAGGTAATTTCTTTATAACATTCTGTGTGAGTTATTCATTAACATTTTAAATGTGCGTACATTTGGTCAAGAGCAGTAGTATTTAGGTAAATATCTCTTCGTAGATCAATGTATTACGACAAGCATGTAAAAAGGGATATTTCGTTTCCACTACATTCAAATTGCATTTTAAACAAAATCGTTGATTTCTTTCAGTAGTTCTTAATCTTCCTTCTTCAATCATTAATTTATGAGCAGAACATCTAAAACGTTAAAGGGCCTGTTCTAAATTTACTATTTATTATACAATCAAGATAGTTCTCTTTTCCAAACGTGTTTTTAATTAAACTATACATGTACGTATCCAGTTTACTAGAATAAACCATAATTGTTGATAATATTGATCATATATACGTTGGATAACAGACTTAAGAAACATAGAATGAGGGTTATAAATAAGAAAAGCCTAAGTCTTGTAAGAGACATTTTACATCATTGGTCAATTTATTAACAAACTGATTGTTATTATCTGTCATCATCATAAGTTTATACAAAAATGAATCTAGATTCTCAGCAGTTCTAAACCAAACCTTTACAATACTAATCTTATGTAAAACAATAAGGGGAACTCTACCTTATTCACCATATACGGTAGCATTACATGTTTGTTGTCTAACACCTTATACTTGCTTCATAAACGTATTATGCACTCGCTTAATATCTGGTGAATTTTGAAAGCGCCATATTTTAGACCCATAGTTAAGAATAGGCATTATCATAAAATCAAACAGTTTAATTTTTTCAGAAACATTCACAGACAAGTTATCAAACAGCGAGTTAAGTGCATATAAAGCCTTGAAGGCTTGCTCAGAAAATCATTTTTGTGCTTGAAAGAATATGTAAGAATATATTTAATTATACATTTTGTATATGAACTAACAGGATAATTCAAATGACTGCCCTTTAATTTATGACATCTAAATGAACACGCTAACAGTTTAAGTATTGTTTTTGCATTACAAATAATTTAAACATGCCATAGATATTTTTTCCTACGTATAATATTATAAACGACAGTGCTAAGTTTTTACGTTGCTGATAGCACAATTCGTAACATTTTCCTATGCCAATGCTAGATCCTGGATTTATTCTTGCTGATACCTATGTATCCGGATTGTTTAACAATTATTTCCGTCATGGACATACTCAAGAATACCTATCCAGTATATTTCTATAATTGGTGTAATTGCTGTCATTATCTACTATCATCCTATCCGTCCTTATAGTAAAGTGCAGTCTTAAGCACATGTTGTTGTTTGTTGTTAACAATAATAATTGAGTTGTATGAATTGATCGTAAGGTTATATTACGATATCGTCCAACATTTAAATATTTATTTGTAATGTATACCTATTATGAACTATTCTTAAGCAATATAATCAAAGGGATGGTTATATCAAACTTCCATAACGCAATACCGAAATATATTACAGGACTGCTGTCGTTATGCAAAATCAAACTACATGTATATTACAGAATTAATTGTTAGTTTAATTAGTTTTCTATTGTTTCTAACCACAATAAAAAGACAGACAAATTTGTTTAACATCGTTTATATCCACTTGTGTATCGCAGCAAAATAAATCTGGAAATAAGGTAATGAAAAAGGGCATATTGCACTATGTTCAGGTAAAGGGTAATTCATCTTGAATTCATCTTGAATACACAAAATACGTCACATTATTTCTTCAAAAATTGCAATACTCAACAGGTACTAACAAGCTCGTTAAAAATCAGTTTAATGGAAACATTTGACTAATTTATATGGAGGTAATAATATCATAAGTCGACTGTTTTCACCATTTATCGACGATATACAAAAGATAAATTGGCCATCATAGGAAGATAAGTATATGCAGCAAATTATAATTAATGCAAACAATTGCACTTAATGTGACTTGTTATCATATTGTGTATCGATGCAAGAACAAGAGCAGCATGACTTATATGTTAATGTTTTATATTTTACAAGTGCAAACAATAGAATCGTATATATTTGGGCTAAAGCTGACAGGGTGTATTTATCATTGTAATCAAAATGCAAATAAATAACATATTCATTGTCATTGTCAGATTGTATACAAATACTAATTTTACTTGATAAATGAGAATTAAAATCTTTAAATATGCGCCTCTTTTGGTGATTAAGTTGTACAAGTTTGACATAAAAATGATATTTTATTTATTTGTATCGCCTAATAGTATATTAGGCTAATTTCTCCGTGATTTTATTTAAACCATACGAGAAAAATGTTTGCGACATGATTAAAAATTCATTGGTGAAAGACAGCTGTCTTAATACAATCATTGTTGAGCACAGTCATATGACAGTCAAATAACTAAATACCGTGTGTCAAAAGTGAGGAGCTTGCTTTGTCTAGCAAAGACAGATGAATAATTGTAATTCAAATCTTAAATGCCAAAAGGAAAGACGTAATCAAACCCGTTATGCATGCACATTTCTTTTTTCCCCACTGAGTTCTAGCAAACTTGGCCAGTAATCATATGTCGCGTGATATCCCCAGGAACTGGCAATAGCTGGCAATAACTAATCACGACATAAAGTGCATGCAGTTGCAATATAGATGTGAGAAGCACATACATGCCGTTGTTTGGATTGTGTCTAGAATAGAGAAAATATAAATATCTATAAAAAAAAGCCAAAAACGGCAAAACTGAAAATGTTGCAGACTCGGTTTGATTGGGTCTGTTCATGGACGGTACTGTCAAGTGCAAACTATCGTCCTAGCTCCCTAGCACCAGCTTAAGGGAATTAAACATTGAAAAAATGAAATTGTAAAATTTTGAAACATTCGCAGAAGTATTCATACGGCGGTTATCATGGAACCTTCAATCTGACACTTCCGTGCCATGCCATGAAAAGCGCCAAATGGTCCCCAAGTAATAAAATGCATGTGCCCTAAACGAGAAAACAATGGGCTTAACTATACAAAATTGAATTTTGAAAGGGGATTGGTCAGAGGATATGAAGCCTACATATCACAGTAAAATGTCAAAAGACAAAGTTAAAAAACAGGCAATATATCTTTAGGGGGATTCAACATTATATAAGTAGGAATTTTGGAACCACCCAAATAGAAAATGCCAAAACACAACAATAATGTTATGCTGAACAATCTTTAAGGATCGGAAATATCACATGTCTGATTGAATGTATGGGGCGACTTTTCACAGCTTCCTCTCGGTACAAACAACGCTGATGTGGTAATAAAATAGAGAATATATGAATCTATAAAGAAAGCCCAAAACGGCAAAATTGAAAACCAATATTAAATGTTTAAAATATAACCATGTAAATTATCATTTAAATATTTTGATTATTTCAAATTTTGGTCATTCATATACGTGCATGTTTCAAATACTGGTCTTTTTATATAATGGTGTAAACATGCCACTAGGTTATAAAAAATATTGTTCGAATTTTGAAGAAGAGCGAATATCGCATGCACGAAATAATTGCTAACTCGAAATAGCAGCATTTTTTTGTTCGAGTCATTCCTTTTCTGTTTACGTACAGCATTCATATGTGCCAAATAATAGAGACTTACAGCTCTGTTTAGCATTGATCGGGAGATTACGGTAAAAATACAACATAAATTTACCCTATAAAAAATATAATATATTTTATAAGAAATAGCTTATATACATTTAAATATAAGTAAGTTTTTTGGTCGTCTCGTAAATCAAAGAATATGATCTCGCAACAGTGTTATTCTAATCAACAAATCTCTACAGCAAACAATATTTCTATGTTGAATGATGAAAACCATTGTTATTTATTTTCTCTTTGCTTCGTATGATTCGTGTATGCAGCATTCACACGCGGATTTTGTTTTTGTATATACCATCAAAGCGTTAAGAAAATTGCATAACATATATTGGAATATTGTGATGATTTTAAGAAGTAAAGTTTTCATTGCGGTTGTGTAGACAGATAGATGTTTGCATAATTTGTTGTTACCAAGGAAATTCACAGAAGCTGCACGTGCTATTTGAGCTAATAATTTATTTATATCGATAGGCAGTAATGATACTTTAACAAATCGACATTTTATATTAAAATTATACCATTTAAGGAATGGCACTTCTACATTATTCTGTCCCATGCCATTTGTGGTTGCTTAAAGTTAAGTCTATTGATGATTATTTTTATTGTAAATACGTTTTCTTTAACTGTAGGGTTAGACACAAAATATATTTTAAAAGATGTCTTAACTTGAACCGCCATTGAACTGTTAAGTATCATATTGTCTAAGAATCTAAACTTAATGGATATAGGCTTAATGAGTTTTAGTACCATAGATACCATAAAAAAGACTATGCATTCCTTTTTATATATCATCTAAGTATATGAAACAAAGTATTAAACTCAAATATCAAATCTGAATGATTTCGTTGCTTTTACCCCGTACCTTGAAATTAACGACTTATTCCATAAATTTAATATGATTGCATGTACAAGTTGATTAAGGCTTTGAAATAAACTAACTATGCTTTGCTGAACAAAATTATTCTGTAAATTAGATTAAAAAGCTATAAAGCTATATCGTTCTATAATCATATGGATATATGCTCGGT